ACTACAAGAAAGAATTTTGAAAGTGCATAAACTTTCGCTTAATAATTATTTGAATTTTTTTTTTGAAGAAAAACTAAACGATGGTTTTGATTTTGCGGCTGCGGTGGCCTGATCTAGTTTACCCAATTGAAGATGGTATTTCATGCGACCAATCACAACTCCCATTTTTTACTAGAAGTTCCAAAATTTATGAGAATGCTGTAATAACCGGGTGGGTTTTAAAAAAAATTTTTATATAAATTTTATAAAATTTTATATAAGTTATGAAATTTTTTTAAAAAAAAAGCCAGCCGGATTTATTAAAAGTTTCATGTTATGAAAACCAAGTAATTAAATTTGTATAGCCTAATTTAAATATAAAAACAAAAAAACTAAATATTTAAACCTTGGGGTTTCATATTTACTTGACAGATTTTGTAAAACTAAACAATGACATATTTTGAACAATTCGTTGTTTTTTATTTATTATATTTTTTTTTTCAAAGGTTTTGAAGTAAAAAAGATATGTACAGTACGTACTACTGGTAACATGGCATGACCCAATATCGCATGAATTAACAAGTCGGCCCGAGTACAAATTAAGACTCGACTTTTGGAGTCGAATCAAACTGGACCGGACTTTTAACATCCCTATCTATAGCTTACCAGAGTCAGTCATTTAACAATTACAAATTCTAATGCAATCAATTTTATAAATTAAGTTTTTTGATACATTAGAATTTGTAATTGTCCAATGACAGACTCTGGGGAGGCTATATTTACGTAAAGAGTTCCCTTACTCTGAGTCAATTTAAAGTAATAGTTCCTGGGATGATGATATATTTTAGTAAACTTTTTGTTTGCTGAAACAAGTGAATGTTTCCCTTACGACATTGACAATTTAACAAAGACATTGAATTTTTTGAAGTGTTCAATTTACTATGTTGTTTTTTTCATAAAAATCAATAGTCAAAGAATATATGATTGCATCATGTGAAATTTAGAACTTTATTCGTTTACATAAGATTATATCGACTTACGTGTATTATATTCACCATTTATGATGTAAAATATACTTATAGCAACAATAAAAAAATATAAAATAAATAATTAATCAGAAAAAAAAAAACTAAGTAGTAGCGATATAAGTGAATGAAAAAATTTCGGAAGTTCTAGTTACAGGTTTTGGCACAGCTAATACCTGCTTTCAACCTTTACCGAGATTACATTATAAAATAATTAAAAATTAAAAATAACCGAAATGTTGTATGTTTATAACTAAAAGACCTAAAAGTATACATCCTAATCTCATAATAAAACAATGAATCTTTCCATGTCTCATGAATTTACTGTTCATAGCAGAACTGCTTTGTATACCTTCATCATTAGGAGATTGAGGATGAATAGTATTAACAGCTAGCTTAGTAGTTGAGGATTTTGGACCATTAACAACTACTACGACAGTCCCTGGTTCGGAAGAAGAATCAGATGGGGAATATGGTTTAGTTGGTATTAATGGAAGTACAGCAGTTATTGGCATTGTAGGATTTATTGATAGAGTGATTACAGATGGCCAAGTAGTTTTCTGTGGCATGACTGCAGGCGTAACTGCATTCGCCGATATCGGGGTTACAGAAACAAGAGGCGTAACAGCACTTGTTGGAGTGCTCGTTGGAGTACTCGTTAGAGTACTTGTTGAAGTCGAGGCTACAGACATTATGGTATTTGCAGGAGTTTGGCCATCCGGGAGAAGAGTACCAACACCAGGTAGACCAATGCCACCAAGTAAAAATTTATTCGGGGTCTCTTGCTTTACAGGAAATGTTGGAGTTTTTGAAGAATCTGTAAAATGATTATGAAAGTGGAAACTGTTTTAAGTATTTAATTTGGTTTATTTATTTTATTTTATTTTATTTTATTTTTTTTATATAGTTTAGTCCTTTTAAAAAAAAATATTTCAAGAGGAATAAAGCTATATGGATCAAATCACCTTCAGGTGCCGTGAATGTAGAGCTACAACTTGTTATTGAAGAAATCGGTGGATTTGTGTCATCTGTTACCTAATTTAAATGGAGATTTGATGAGAAGATAGGAGACGCGTGTATATCGTATAATTAAGAGATAAAAAACAATACCTTATCAGCAGAATCATTTGTTGGGAAAGTTACAGATGGATCTTGGGAAGAAGGAAACGTTCCAACAATGAGTATTAACAGAAAACATAGAGATATTTTGAATAACATTGTTTGGATAGCTTCCTTAAGTTAGGGCTGCTAGAGTAAAGGAATGATTATCTTCTTATATACGAAGTAAATTTTAAGCGCAGATGTGAGCGCTTTTACGAAAAGCGAAGGCTTTTTTCGATCTATAAAAAACCTTCATAAATTTGTTTAAAAAACAAAATTTTGGGTAGTAACTTTTAATTCTTTCAATTCTTTCAATTCTTTCAATTCTTTCATCTAATCGCCACCTAGCTTTTATTTTACAACAAAATTTCAGGCAGATGTTACGAATTTACCAAATAAGTTATAGTTTAATTATCATTGTAATTATTGTTTTTATTATTGGTTTTTACGATCAATTAAAGAAAACTAATAAGTGATTTACCCTAGTTATCTTTCTGTACAATTGAATAGATCAATACAGAATACATTACAGATTATTTCTAATATACAGTTGCTTCTGTTTTTCAAGTACGTACTTTCTATATTAGTTACATTCAGTAGCAACTTTCAATACAAGCTTAACCCCCTAGTTTCACCGTTTCGCCATATGTTATAAATACGTCATATATATGCGCAAGAAAGCACACGGCGCATATGTTAAAATTTGGAACCTCATTGCAACGCATATATATACGTACGAACATACGTATGTGATTTTAATCTAAAAAGTTTTAATAATTTAAAGAATTTTGTACGAATGTGGATACATTGTTCTAATTAATCATATATGCGGACCCGAGTTATTCACAAATATCATAAATAAAGTCTGGTGCACTATTAAATTAAACTTATAATAAATTTTGTAAAACTTGACTTGATCTACAGTATCTATGAATGAATATAATAAGCGGATACGTAAATAAAATTAAAACTTCGCTGTTATCCAGACTTTAATGCATTTACTCGTCCAAAAAGAAACTATTTCAAATATTTGTTATTATGTATTTAATGTGAGGCTCAATAAAAAAAGTTAGTATTAAACATTATTTACTAAATTTGGTTGTCTGGACTACAAATATGATCTAGATTGTTTACAAAAATTTTAGTTTCAGAAATATCGTAATTTTGATAGCGTAACACAACTTGTCGAATTGAAATAACTAAGAAATTTTAATTTAAAAATTAAATGAATAAATGAATCAATTTAACGATCTTTTGTCTATTACAAAGTCATGTTTCACTATTTAAACTCTTGAAACATCTTTATTTTTATCGAATTTTGTTTTTTTTTTAATTTTTTTATTATTTTATTTTTTATTTATAACCTGACATTCAAACTTGAGACTAATTTCACAATGAAGCTGCGATATCTTTTTACAATATTTGATTATGTAATAAGTTTGGTTAAAATTTTAGATTATTTTAAAGAATATAAAAACTTTGAAATATTCTATTATCTCTTTTTGTAGTTAGAGAGAATTATTTAATAAACTTACAAAATCATTTATATCAATATATATATATACAGTATTGTTTTATTTACATGCAAGCACATCCATATTTTAAATAATAAAGGATGCTTGGCATTCGATTGGGGTTGCCACGTGTATATACATTATCCTGAGGACTTACCGTTACATTCCAGGTACGACATCTCTTATTTAGAATGGCTATTGCGTAATTTATAGCGATGCTTTAAATGTTGGCACAAGATCTATAAAAGTTTTTGCTATTGATGCTTTAATATAAAATTATGTCATACAAATAATTGCGCACGTAACACAACATAGGTGGACACGTATGTACGTACATACGTACTGTACATACGTACTGTACATACGTACTGTACATACGTACCACACATACTACGCCTACTACAGTTCCATGGAAGAAAATGTTGCATGCTATCGGTTGATCTGGTGATCAATCCTTTTTTCTACGTGCAGTAGTACCTACTACGCATACTACAGCTACAGTTCCATGGAATTTTCCCTACCGCTACGCACTGTACGTTAGTATGTACTTTATCTGTTATTTACTTACGGTAATACATATGGTACATACGTATTGGAGTGGTAAATCGACTAAGTAATCAAAACTATGCCAGATATATTAGTAATTTTATTATGATCAGATTTTTATGAAAACGATTTATCGAGCAATTTTATATAATTTTAATTATAGAGCGATAAAGTTAATAAAATCTCAAGATATAAAATATTGAATGAAGGCTCTGGTTATTCACTGATTTGGTTTTAGGAAAGATTTGCCGTTTAAAGTGCGATACTAAAGAAAGGATAGGAGCCATTGTTTCCGTCGTGGTTGAGTCACCTCTAATTCTCTAATTTCATTGGTGCTACAACTGAATGCGAATCCTTTATTGATTTTTAAATGTGTTCAAATTCTGCATTATAATTCTTATATCCGATATACACTTCCAGAATGTATAAAATTTGCTAAATGTTAGAGAATGTCAAAACACAAAAACGAGTGGATTCATTCTTAAATATTTTCGGTAATACTTCTCGATTTGTGTTAATTATCGATTTATCTGGCTAAATCAATCGATTTTTTAAAAAAATTGACTTAGTCGATTATAAACCATAAAACAGTAACTAATGAAATCTGCTATGAGATCATTTGAGAATGAAATCTGCTTTTGCATAATATACTGTACATACTGTGAAAAAAAAACCCCTGTACTATCAAATTAATATAGTGCTGGGTTTAGATCAGGAGTGAATGATTAATCGAATTAAACCATCAGCTATAATATCGGATCAGATTTTAAAATTTGGCCTGTACTATACTGATCTCTCACCTATACAAAATCAATGTATCAGAAGATCGTTAAATGCAACTAATTGAGCAGTGATAAAATTAACGGTGGTACTGTAAACAATCAATATAACAATTACGTATGAGAGTGTCGCTTGTCATCGGACTTTCAATTATATTTTGTATCGGACACACTGCAAATGCATATTGGCATCATGCTGCCTCATGTCGTGCCTCTATCTATGGGACAGGTATATTATAGGCACAGGCACAAAATGTCAGACACTAAAATGCCAATAGTGCCCTGCATTTTATATTTATACGTACGTACGTATGTATTGCTTAGTTAAATTTTTGTGCCTGTACCCATGCCCATGCCAAACTTTTATGCCTATGTAGAGATGTGAACCGTTTGCCGACTTAACAGTTTTTGGCCCGCATTACGGTTAATTATTTCCAAAAACTGTTAGGATCAGCAAATGGTTCACGACTCTATGCCTATGCCCATGCCCAAGATTTTGTGTCAATGCCGTTCTGTTAGATGAGCACGAGACTGGTTTTGCAGAACCCTAGACACAATCTATTTAATTTATTAGGGAATCTGTCCGGTACAAAATATAATTGAAAACCTAATGTTAGGTTTTCCCTTGGTGGCACTAATTTAATCATAAGTTGCCTTTGGTATAATGATGGGACTACAGATGCTATTGTCACACGCCGTGATCTCATAAATTATTGAATGTGACAATTAAGAATCACCTATTAGTAGTCCCATCACTAATCGAAGTCTAAAGAGGTCATATACCTCTTTATAATCGCCCCTATATAATCACATCATATAAAACCTTTTATAATCACACCTATATTTAAGCCCACTTACTATTTATATATATATAATATATATATATATATATAACAAAAGACCTCTATATAAGCACACCTCTTTACAAGAACATTTTTTTAAAAAAGTTCCCATGGTCCCAAAAGTGTGATTATAAAGAGGTATGACTGTATATATATATCGATACATATAAATTATTACACTACTACACTACTAAACTATCGGATATCCTCCTTCCGTTATACTACAATACATTACGTCTCAAGCACTAATAATTCCCTCCTTGTGTGCCCTTTTTTATATTTAGACCCACACCTTAGAACGTTTATTCCTTGTCTTTATGTGTGTTATTAGAACTTTGATAACTAAATGCTTCGTATTCATGCGCCCTACCGCGTATTTCTTGAATAAATAGATAATAGGGTGGGTGATTCAGAATTAATACTCAGATTTCTGATTTCGAATAAAATTAGTGACGTATAAATTTTTTTTTTTATATATGATGATAATACAGGAAAATATTTTGTCTTCTGATTTCGGAATTTCAAAACAGAAAATGGAAACTTATTTTCAAAATAAGTTAATTCTGAATCACTCTAATATGAGAATGATGCTCTATTCTCATTCGCGTATTTAATATCGTATGATTAATCAACAGTCTGAATAACTATATATGGCGATAAATAAAATTTGTATGAAGATATAATATAGGAAATAAACATAGCGTACAGTACGTCTAAATAAACAAAAAGAAATAAGGGAAACAAAGAAGGATCACCGAATTCGAATTGTGCAGGGGTATTAAGGTCGAAGATCTTTAAATTAATATTTCGGGGACAGGGGTAACAACATGATTGGAAACACATGTGTCCAAGCATTTTCGCGTTTACTTAATTGACAATTCACGATAGAAGAATATTTACAGGGAGATTTTTATAATAGAAAATAATAAAATTTTGCTTGTAACTTTTTATCTACCCAACCAATTTTACCGATCTTACTACTGTACAATTAGAACCATGAAAACTAGCTCTACAACTTTTATTAAAGGTCCATAGAAGGTTAACTTAATAAAATTTTGTCTTTATAGTAAGGAATTACGGTTTTATATTTTATACATATTATTAGTAGGATTACTATTAAGAATTTATTAACAAATTTCTCCTTCTTTCGTGAACTATAAATTAAATATAAAATACCCTCTACCTGACAAAGTACAAAGTACCACCGGGTACTAATCAAGTTTTGCCCTTAGGAATGTAATTACGGTATTATACCGATCGGTGTAATTTTATATCAATGTTAGAGAAAAATTCTTAACATTTTAAAAAATAAACTAGGCATTGGACCCGTCGTTAACAAAGAGAAAACATCCAGACTTAGGGATTGTGTTTTGGCATATATAAATTTAAAACCCCGATAGGAATTGTGCATATAACTCCAAAAATTTTACTATATAACTTAGATAGAGAAGTACCTCGCGCGCGAAGTGCGAGGTGACCTCATCTCTAATCACTATGGTTTTCTCAATTAAAATTTACTTCGCGCGAAATATGATGCAATATTGTGCGAAGATGATATCATTATCTTCTGCGAGGTACTGTACATCTCTATATGGGGACCTACAGCAAAAGGAGGCAGTAGGCAAAAACAAAAAAAATTTTTAAACTCAATTTCTTGAAGAATTAAAGTAAATTACAAAATCAAATTTTTTGCCCACTGCTGTTGTGGTTCCCATATATAGATCTTAAAAAATAAATTTATGACAAGGTAAAACCCGCTTTGATCACAGGGTTAGAATGAAATCCGCGTTAACAGTGTTTTAAATGTTTTTTTATATGTAACCGCGAATCTCACCTTCATGTGATCTGCATAGCGGATTAACCATTGGGTGACTTTTGTACTACTTTATGGACAATTCAAAACTTTCGGTTATTAAAATGCGTAGAAGCATTAAGTTCATTATAACCAGAGTTCAGGTTTGATATAGAGAGGTGACTTTAGGGTGTCGATTTCAATTGCTTAATGTTTTTCAGTAACTATAAAAAAAATTATAGCTTTTTAAACTGTTCTTATGTTGATGTGTATGTACTAAATAATTAATGAGTTAATAAACCGCATTTACAATTTTAATGAAATAAAATACATAAATATTACATATGTAAGTACAGTATATGAAAAAAAGGCATATTTGGATAGTAGCGATTAGGAGTTAATAGTAGACAGTTGCAAACCTAATTAAAGAGCTTGCAGTTGATTGTACGTTACATACGCTGTCCAAATTCCCAATCTCTGGAAACTCCTTTTTATAATCAACTGATAAATAATAAACTTGCATATGTTTTTGTTGGTGTTTTTTTTTTATATATACATACAGTCGCACTCCCATATAATCGCACCATCGGGGCATATTAAAAGTGTTCTATATAGGGAGTGTGTTCTATATAGGGAGTGTGTTCTATATAGAGAATGTACTTAGAAAATGCATATATAGAGAATTCTTTTAGGTTCAAAAAATAAATGTGCTTATAAGCTATTGCACATCTATAGGTGCTTATATGGGTGTGCGACTGTAGTATCAACATAAATCTCTAACAATCGTTTAGCTCTTTAAACATTATAACTTTTACAAAATTGCCATATGTGACGGCTAATCCGTCTTCACCCACTTTGACAATTCGTCGTATACGAGAAAATGGTAACATCTCGTTCATTACATCTTCCTCTTTAAATGATATTCGATCATAGTGACTGTTATTTGGATAAACACGCTGCTTCTGACTTCGCTGCCTAAAATCCATAACTTGTCCTTGTACATAGTCCTCTTCATTGTGAATATATGAATGATTTTCATTTTGATCATCGGAATGAGATGAATTTGAGAGATAGTTCTTATTTGTCATCGAAACAACTTTACGTCGCCCAACAAACCCTTTTAATTTATCCATATTTTCTCGGTCTTGTTTATATATTTCTTTCTTCTTTTTTTGTTGTTCTATTATCAAATCACTGTCGTTAACCAATGGAATAGTTTTAACTTTAAATTCATCATCATCATAATTTTCTAAAAAATCAATTTCTTCGGTTGGCTCAAACACATTAGGGTCGTTAATATCAAAAGCCCAAACTTCCCATTCACCTTCAGCACCATGACTCCTTTTTATGGATGCATTTGGACCCGTAGTACGACGAACTCCAATTATATGTCCTTTAAGAAGCACGATCACTGAACTACCGGGTTGCCTTATATGTCCAAGAAAAACTTTTTGAAATCGTTCTGAGGTATCTACGTTATCGTTATAATTAAGAGGAGGTTCTTCTAGTTGGGATGTCATGCACGTACAGTCCACAAACTTTCGGGTTAATTGCCAAAAATTGACTTTTTCATCCAATGACGAAGTTATTATTGAAAAACCTCTACTCTCTTCAATATCACCACATGGACAACTTTCTTCTTTAAGTGGATGAATTATAATACTTATAATTGCACCTTGGTGTGATGAATCGAAACTTTCTATTTCATCCCAAAATTCATTCTCATCTTCGTCTTCTTCAAACCAATCCTGTTCTGAAGAGAAAGTTTTAAATTTTTTCTGTCGTTGTTGCTCATTATGTTCTTTTGCAAGGTTCTGTTTTCCTGAAGTTCCATAACTTAATGTTTCTATAAATTGGCCTGTAAGGTAATCATATACTCTAACTTCTCCATCCGCAGCTCCGGTAACCACGACACCAAAACAACCCTTTTCAGTTTTGATTACTTTAGCACTTATACCAGTAATTGCGTTTCCGGATTTTCCGCGCAATGTGTAGAGTAATTTCCACACGTTATTACATAGCTCTTTAGGCTTATTGTCTAAATCAATCATACGAATCCAGCATTTGACCGACCCGTCTTGTGCTCCAGTAAAAATATGTATCCCATCTTGATCATCATCAACTACAAAGAGGCAACTGATACCACCTTTTTGATGTGTGAAAACTGTGTGGGAAATTTGACCAGAAGTAAGATCCCATTCTCGAAAATAACCATTTCGGTAAGTTGCAAAAAGTGTGACAGGTGCTTTTTGATTCGATAATTGTTTAGACTTATTATCTAATACTATAATTTGTAAACATGTAACCCGTTCGTTTACTGATTTATCATTATTAACTGTCGACATTATTTGTTCGACATCTTCAACAGTATCTTTCAAGATATAATTAACTTGTCCTGTATTTAAGTCCCACACTCGCACCACTCCGTCTTCAAAACCAGCTGCAGCAGTCTTTTCACTCATGCACATAGCTCTAACTGGCC